ATCATCAAGTGCATCATGGGTACCTGATGATGACAAAACCTTGTCGAAACGTTGTACATTTGCTGTTATGTTAAACTTATATTAAAGTTTTTCTTCATTACCCATTCAAGCCGTCTCCAACCATTATTAGTCTCAAAGTGGGTTCTTCGTCATTGAATTTGAATTCGACACTGAGCTAAGCTTTTCCGTTTCTAGCATCTTTAAAAATACTATATTACACTGAGCTAAGCTCTTCCGTTTCTGGCATCTTTAAAAATACAATATTACACTGAGCTAAGCTTTTCCATTTCTGGCATCTTGAAAAATACCTTGGAAGTGTATTTTTACTTATTACTACAATGTGTTAAAGATTATTCTTTCATTCTCCACATACATTACCAACTTCTGCTGTAAAATTAAGAATAGAAAATTACAATCGTCTCAGAGACACTCGGAATAAACGGTCTAAATAGTTTATTACTAACTTTTTAAAAGAAGAAAAAAAGACAAAAAAACGATCCTATATTTTCTATATTTCATCCGGTTTAGTGTTAGTTATTGTATTGCTTATTTCACGTATGAGAAAATTCAGAAAATTTATGCCTGTCTAACACTCGCATGGTTAGCCAAACACAGATCGTAACATCCAGTAACACTGACGAATACGTGACGTCTCGTGCATGCACGCCTTCTCCGCCTCCTGGCTGGAATCAGTTACACTAAACCACCTACTTTTTTCGGATTGAAGATTTCGTATTTCTTACGTCATATTTTAATTACTTTTATATAAGTCATGTACGCAATGTTCAGTGGAGTAATATTTCCAATAACGGAAATAGAAATCCTTATAAATAAAAGGGCGACAGTTTTCCTGTTACGCTTGAAAGAAACCAAAATTCCATTTGTTTTATTCAGACGCTACGAAATTAAAATTCCTCTCATCATTGTTGAATGTTTAGAACAGGCCACTACCACAACTTTACTCCAGTTTCAGCAGTTAACTTTCTGAAGCGATAAATCACTGTCACATAACTTATGTTTGTCACTAATACCGTTTAACGCATGGACAAGTCCTACTAACATTCTCATTAACGCTTAACAGATACTTAACCATTATTACGAAACTAAGTAACGTTTAACATATAGAAAACATCTGTTAAGAAGCTGAGTAACGTTTAACAGTTAGGGAAACAATGAATGTGTTTGAGAAATAACGAAAGGCTACTAACCACCAGATTGGGATCATATACTCGAATTGATTTCTTTTGCGGTTTCAAAATGGAACATTTTAAATAAATTTGGTCATTAATACTCGTATTTCCATCGAGCAGTTGAAAGAATTAATTGAAAAAAAAAGGAAATTTTTCTATTGCAACAATAATTTTAGCAATACTAATGTTTAGTAATTTGTGTCCAGGATATAGTGAGAATGCAACGTGGCGTAAAGACCACTTAATTTTCTGCTTTTTCTTTATTTATAATAAAGCTAAGACAAACATATATTACCAACCTCCAGTTCAAGGTTGATGTATGTTTAGCCCATATATATTTCACTAAGCCCTTTCTGTTCAACAGTATCTACACACGCACGCCATACAGTGGAGTTGAGTTTACATGTTCGTTACGTTATCTTTTTTATATGTCACATGTTTCCAACAAAAACACGTGATCAGCATCGATAAATGGTTCTTATAATCATTAAACGAGACGAATAAAAACCCTATAACCCGAGCGCTTTCGAAAGGTGGATCTTT